TTTTTTTTTTTTTGTGTGTGTGTGTGCCTCATATTATTACTTTGTTTCAACTGATTTGGGACCATAGGTTTGACAAAAAATAAAAGTTACAATGAGAATCCTATAAAATTGTCATGTGAAGTTTCAATGAGCACAATACAAGTAGGATCTTATTAGGCTTTGTTGTTAAATGGGTATTTTAGTAGCAATAAAATAAAATAAAATAAAATAAATCATTAGATAAGCTGCGAAAATAAAAGTTATCCATCAAATGTATTTTGATTTTTAAAAAAAAAAAAAAAACATAAAATTCTGGGGCTCAACATATTTGTACCATTTCATTCATTCAAATGCACAACTTATTAATAATTGAAAGAATTATCAAATGTCACGATATTAATTAAGGTAATTATAATTATTACTTAGAACAACTCCGATGCTGCTCTACATTGTATAGTTTTACTTCAAAGTAGTGTGAAAAACTCGTTGCAATGTTGCGCTACATTTTCGCACTACTCTGAAAATGTGAACAATATTGTGCTACATGTAGCGCAGTACTGTTCGTCGTGCTATAATTTTTAGTTGCATATGGCTTTATCACGTGGAATACATAATATGTACAATGTTGAATAGAATTAAACTCACCTCACTAAGTATTAAATATGTTGCAATTGCCCTACCTTATACTAATTTTATTCTTTTTATTTCTTACATTTTTCAGGGTAGGTGTGATATTATTAGAGCTGTAAACGAGTCGAGCCGAGCTCGAGCTTAAGGTGTTTGAGCTCGAGCTCGAGCTCTTAACGAGCCGAGCCGAGCTCGGCTCGTTAAGGCCTCGAGCTCGAGTCTTAACGAGCCGATCTCGAGCTTTAACGAGCCGGACTATAAAAAATTACATAAATTTCACTTTTCGAGCCTTAACGAGCCTTATCGAGCCGAGCCGAGCTCGGCTCGTTAACCAAACGAGCTTTAAATGAGCTCGAGCTCGGCTCGTTAAGGGTTCGAACTCGAGCCGAACCGAGCTTTAACGAGCCGAGCCGAGTCAGGCTCGTTTAATTTAACAGCACTAGATGTTATAGAATAATATGTGAGCAATTAAGAGTTATTTTTTGTTGGATTTGTGGTGTTAAGGTGACCCCAATTATGTCATTAAATGCAAGCTGGAGAGTGAAAAAATTGGGTAGAATTTGAAAGTAAGAAAATTCCAGCTTTGATCTATATCTCTCCTCTGACATCTTAAAACTTGCAATTACTGGTAGTGTTAAGACATGGCAGTCTATGTACGGTATTCTTTTTTTTCCACCTTAAAATGGGTTCACTGTTACCCGGTCTAAATAGCCCACCCGAATCGGTTCCAGCCCGGTCGACCCGCCGGGCCCGGCCGAGTTGAAAAATAATGCTTCGAATCATCTGTCTCATACTTTTATATCAAATCAACTTTAATTATTATATACCACATTTTTTCAAAATTAACCAAAGAAAACTAATTAAAAAAATCCAAATAAATCCAAGAAATTTTATATCCAAGCACGAATTAGTTAACATATTAACAAATTAAGTTGTGGTCGATGTTTAGAGGTGGTCAAATTACTTGTAGTTAAAATAAAAAACATAAAAAAATGTATTATTATTATTATTATTATTATTATTATTATTATTATTATTAAATGAGGATCAGAAAAGATAAAAATAGCAGCGGGAAAAGGTACAAATGATCTTGAAGGAAGACAAAAAAAAAAAATAAAAAAAAAATAAAAAAAAAAATGTGAAGATGATGACAAATTGTTTTTAAATTTTAAGGGAGAAAATAAAGGGAAAAATCCTATTACTTTGTCAGTGGGGATGAACTTTGCAGTTTGGAGGTCTTCAAGGGGACCAAACGAGGTGAAAAAGACCTTTGATTTTTTCCATTTCAATATCCTCTTCATTTTTCACACAAACCCACGTAATATAATTTTGACATTTCTAGCTTAAATTGTAACCAATTAATTACTTCGTGCATCCCTCCCTATATATTAATTCAAAACGTGTTGAGTTTAAGTGGCAGATTCTCACGCTTCAGATGCTGACATGACGTAAAATCTATGCTTCGTGATTGTTGTTTTTATATTATTTTTTTTCTGCAATTAGAATTGGTATTAGACATAAATAACTTTTATGATATATTTATTAACTCAGCACCCGTGTTGTACACGTGTATTGTACTAGTTTTGTTTAAAGATGAACCAAACTTACTAATCATATCTCGCGCGCGAACAGTGTGAAAATTTCTAGTTCACAACTGACTAGCACATAACATATATCATGTCATTACAAGAAAATGATGAAATTCCAACGGAAATATATATCAAAAAAATTATTCCAACGGATATTTCAATACTATTATTTCCGTTGGAATTTTTCAATGGATTCCAACGGAAATTCCAACGAAAATATTCCGTTGGAAGGGGTTTTCCATTAGAATTTCCGTTGGATTTTGACGATTCTAACGGCGGATTTTCCAACGGGGGTGGAAAAAAAAAATTCCAATGGAATTTTCATATTCCAACAGAAATTCCTACGGCAAAAAGCCGTTGGAAATATAGTCATTGGAATCATCAAATTCCATCTAATATTCCAATGAAAAACACATTCCAACGGAATATTTCCGTTGGAATTTCTGTTTGAACTATTCCAACGGAAGCTATTCCATTGGAATATCCGTTGGAATTTTCATTGGAATATATTACCATAGGATTTTCCGTTGGAATACAACATTTATTTTGTAGTGTGTTGATAACGTGCTATATATTATAACTAGATATCCATCGATCACTCCTAATTAACAGGTGTCGTGTAGGCTTTAGGCTCGAGTTTATCTAATTTTGGGCCGTAAAAACGCGCGTACTAGTTTGAAAATGGATTTAATTTATCAAATTATGTTTTGATTGGAAAATATTAATCAAATTTATATCCAATCACACTCTTAATGTTCATTAATCTAGTACACTTATTTATATTTCTATTTTTATTTTCTAAAATGGGAATATATATATGTATATACTCTAGAGAGGGGTTCATCTATGTTATTGACTTGAACTGAATTACTCTTTTGGCTTGGAGCGCGTATACTGTTAGGATTAGCACGTATTTTAAAGCCAATATTGTTATACTGCGCCATATATGATAAAGCTGGAAAAGAGAGCAAAATCCAAAGTGTGACCTATGAATGAGGTTGGTCTTGTTTTGAGAAGGCAATAACGATATTTGGGCGACAATAATATACGGTCCTAATAGATGAAGCGCACCATAAGTGGGTGAACTTAGATGCACTTTATTGGTGTTGCATCCGAAAATCAATTGGTGACGGGAGGAGTAGCTCACTAAGGCTATATATACTAGACTTATTTTCTCTATAGAATCAATGTGAGGCAACTCACAAGTGATATTCCAACATTTTTGTTTTAAAAAATGGTATATATCTTTGAGGGGTTTTTTTTTTCGAAATATTTTCATCTATCGACACAGCCACATTTTGTGTACATCGTGTGGTGATAAAGTCCCGCGACCATGACCCATAAAGGTAAAATCGAGTTTTCTGCGACTAACAGTCCGGTTCAAATCCTATTGAAATTTTAACCAATGAATTCTATAATTGAATTTATGTGTGTTATACAAGGATTATAATATAATTCAAGTTACTAGTTCGGTTTGATGTTGGTTCGAAAACGAAACACGCCAAAACCAAACCGAACTAGAATAACATAAGTTTTCATTAAGCAAAAAATGAACACAATTAGCGGCGCGCGCATAAACAAGGGCCGAACCAAACACTGCTTTAATCGGTTTGACTCGATTTTTCGATTTTGGCCCATATATCACACCCTAGCAAGCAAGTAATTACACATTCTTTAATTAATTGCCTTTTGTAACCCTAACATTAATAGGGAGGGTACACTGTTTTGGTAGCTGTAAATAGTATTCATTATAGTTGCACCCATATTTAGAGGCAAGGAGCCTTACAAAAAGTTTTTTGTACGCCCTTTAGATATATACATGCAAACCTTTCACTTTCAAACCCTTCAAAGCATACAAAAAAAAAAAAAAAAAAAGAGATTCATACTTACATTTTTATCATTTTCACTTTGTTCCCACCAAAAGGAAACCATCTCTTACACTATATATATGTGGTCCATTTTGATCTAGCTAAATTTGCAACATAAACATATTTGAGTTAGATCTTAGAGGGAGAAAACGATCGAGTGTTCGTGATAATATTAAATTACTCGAGCATGGATAACAACGGTAATCTCCAAACGCCTTTTTTTTCTCGGCCCGACTTTCTCTACAACTATAACTACGACCACTTTCAAGGTAAGTTCGAAAACATTTTTCGTCGATTTCACTATATACATACACACACATTCTTTCTTTTGAAGCTTAATTTGGTAAATTTGTTACTATTATAGGTTTCAATTACACGAAGGCGGTGATTCCACCAATCGACCACAAAAACAACAAAGGCACGAATATTATTTACGGTCATCAGGACCCGAAGAAGAAGCGGTTGAGCACCGAGCAGCTGGATTCGCTCGAGAACAGCTTTCAAGAGGAGAACAAGCTCGATCCCGACCGAAAAATGAGGCTGGCCAAGGAGCTCGGGCTTCAGCCACGTCAGATCGCGGTCTGGTTCCAAAACCGGCGGGCCCGCTGGAAGGGAAAGCAGCTCGAGCGCTTGTACGACGTGCTTAAGCAGGAGTACGATGCGGTTTCTAGGGAAAAGCACAAGCTCGAACAGGAGGTACTACGTAATTCAATAATTAATTAAAATGAAATAAACTTTACTTACGACACCTAAGTGTAGTAAATGATTCAGCTTCCAACTTGTTCGAATTATTACATCATAAGGCAGGCATATTTATGTGTGCTTATTATAATTATATAAATGTGTTACCCAATCATGAATTGTCTTGCACGTATTTATTACTTGGATATATACATGTCATTAAGTTTTGTATAATTATATCATAATAATGCATTTTATATTGGCCCCTGCTTCTTTACTACCATAATAATGAATAGAGTAAATTACAATTTTAGTTTTGTATGTTTCATTAATTTAATTTTTTTCGTCCTCTTCGAATTGTGTTTTTTTTTTTT